ATGGTTCTGCATTGGGGTCAAGTGCATGGGCCTTGAGACCTTACTAGACCCAACCAACTCCCCTCCTGGACAGCATTCCAGACCAGCCATGGCTGGCAAGTTAGGGAGAAAAAGATGTTCCCCGTCATTGGCTTGGTTGTTTTGCTTGTTTTCTGTCACCAGGTTCTATTTTCCTTGGTCACATCTGTCTTTTCCTCCCCAGCTGGAGCTGGAGCTGACTCAAGGTGTGGATCGGTCTGGCAGTTTCTTCCAACTTTCTTTTCTCAGCTCTGGATACTCACATCTCTATCAGAAGGCTTAAAACTCGGGGAAGCCAAACTGGTTCTGTTCCAAGTATATTCCATTCTGAAGTGGTTATTGGTGCCAGAAATATAGGCATCCAGGCAGACACAGAAAGTGCACACCAGTCTGATTCTGCTGAAAAAATAAAACAGTAGCATCTACCGCCAAAATGTGGAATGAGATCACCTGCCTTCCTTCCTAAGGAAGCATGGCCTCATCTCTTGTTGTCCTGAAGTTTTCTTTCCTGCTCTCTTTTACCTGGAGTCCTGGTGGATCACTGTAGGATAAACACTGGACTGGTAACTGTAAGGTTGGCGGTTCAAACCCACCAACCACTCCTTGGAAACCTTATGCAGATTCGATATGAGTCAGAACCAACTTGATAGTATTGAACAACAACATCATTCTCTTACCTGGAGCAAGCTGGCACTAAACTTGATCTTTGCATTTTGGGGACAGTCTCCTCTTGTTGGCTGTAGGACCATGCAAAGCCACTGTCATCTCTTTCAGGGTTTACCCTTCCCTGAGCTCCCAGACGTGGCTTCTTGTGGTTTAAGATTCTTGTCGTTAAGTACTGTTGAGTCAGTTCTGACTTATAGCGACCCTATATAGGGTTCCCAAGGAGCCGCTGGTGGGTTTGAACTGCTAGCGTGGTGGCTCAGAGTCCAATGTTGATCCTATAGTGCCATACCAGAAGTCCTTAAGATTCTTAGCATCACATTTTTAAAAAATGAAGTGAAATTCATATAACATAAATCAACCATTTTAATACATAAAATCCTATGTCTTAGTAACCTTATAGAACACTATAAAAGTGCCCCATAAGGATCTCAAGGCTGTAAATCTTTACGTAACAGAATGTTGCATCTTTCTCCCACAGAGTCTGATCTGAACGGTCAGTCTTTTGGTTAGCAGCCACGTGCTTTAGTGCTATAAAACACAGTGTCACCAGGGTCCCTCCATGGCTATATGACATTTTATCCCATCAGCACTAGGCACAAGCATAGCAGGAATTGTGAGGATGGTGCAGAATCGGGTGGTGTTTTGTTCCGTTGTGCATATGGGTCAGAAACAACTCAACATCACTTAACAGCAATAACAACACCCAATCGCTGATGGACACTAGGTTATTTCCACCTTTGGGTGTTATGAACGTCGGTGTACAAGGATGTGTTTGAATACCTGCTTGCAGTTCTTTGGGACATTGCTCACAGCATTTGGTATCACCCTGCTCTCGGTGACCTTTTTGGATTGCACAATCACGCAGTAGACTTTTTGCTCCATCTTGGATTCAGAAGCAGAATCAGCTGTTATTGTTCTCAGCACCGCACACCAGGCTCCTCGCCCACCACTCCAACCCCGACCCAGACCCTGACACATCAGAGAAGGGGCTTTTAAAACCCACCATGGGCAATGCCAAGATGACTCCAGAGTCACATTCCTTTCGTCTTTTTTTTTACAATAATGTTTTAAGTTTATAAAAGCAAATTAGGTTTCCATTGGATAATCTCTATACAAAGTATTCAGCAGTATGGTCACGTTCCTGGAGTCCTGGTGTGGTGCTGCAAGGTAAGGCACTGGGTCATAGGGTGGTTCAAACTCACCAGCCACTGCTCGGAAACCCTGTACAGGGTCACTATGAGCCGGAACCAAGTGGACAGCACTCCATAACAACACTGGTTATGTTTTGTACAATGCAACCAATTGTTAACGTTTTTTTTCAATTGTTACATTTCATTCTCATTCATTTCATTCTTGTACCATTTCCAGAATTCTAGTTTCCCTGCCCCCTTACCTTCTCATCTGTGCTTTAGAGTAATTTTTGACCATTTGGCCTCATAATGATGAATTTCTAAAGGAGTTCATTACTTAGTGGTGATGTATTTTTTTTCTTTTATGAGCCAATCTATTATTTAGCTAAAAACTGACCTCAAGAAATAATTTCAGTTTGAGCTTTAAAGAATACCTCAGGGCGACAGGATTAGGGAAAGCTCTAGTCTCCATTGGTCTCGTAATTTTGGATTTGTAAAGAATTTTGAGTTCTGTCCCATATTTTTCTCCAATTCTATCAGGATCCATCTATTGTGACTCTGATCAGCACAGTCATAGTGGTAACAAGGTACCATCTAGTGCTTCTGGTCTCAGGGTAGATGAGCCCTGGGTTCATGCAGACCATTAGTCTCATAGACTAGTTTCTTCACTGGGTCTTTGGTCTCCTTCTTCCTCTTTTGCGCCAGACAAGTAGACCAATAGATGTAGCTTAGATGGCCGCTCATAAGCTTTGAAGACCCCAGATACTCACTACTCACCACATTGGGATATAGAACATACATTTTACAAACGGTATTAGGACCCTGAACTGAGTGGTCCTATGAGACTATGGTCCCAAGCCTTCAAACCTAGAAAGCCAATCCCATGAGGTGTTTGGTTATGCCTAAGAAATCTCCATAACTGCATTCCCCATGGGATTTATTATATAATGTTCCTTTCTTTTAAATTGCCCAGGGCAAAGGGGAGTTGAAAGAATTAACAAATATCTTTTCCTCACTTTATAGAAGGAACACTGAGGGTTTAATGACAAGTATATAGTGATTCCAGCACGGTCATTGGCAAACTTTGCAGCACAAAAGCAGACATAGAAGAGAGTCTATGCCTGTGTGCAAGTAAAACTGCATATGTAGATACCAAACTTGGAACTTCATATCATTTTCATGTACTAAGAAATATCATCCCTCTTGATTTTCTTTTTAACCATTTAACAATGTAAAGATATTAGAAATAAAAATGCTGGTTGCCTCTGGAGAGGGAGCACAGGGAGTAACTGGGAAGCGGCTCAAGGGGACTTTCTGGAATGATGGAAATGTTCTATGCTTTGACACTGGTGGGTTCTTTTTGCCAGAACCCACTGATCAGTACTCTTAAAGATCTGTGCATTTCACTCCGTGTAACTTAGTTCTCCAGGGCAGTTGGGGCTTAGTGGTGAAACTCTTCCCTTCAGTGTGGGAGACCCAGGTTCGATGCCCAAGCAGTGCACCTGATGCATGGTCTATCAGTGGAGGATTGTGGGATGCTGAGATGCTGAATAGGCGTCAGCAAGCGCTTCCAGACTAAGATGGACTAGGAACAAACGCCTGGTGATCTACTTCTGAAAATGAGTCAATGAAAAGCCTACGAACCACAACAGTCCCATCTCACAAAGCCGGCTAATGCTGTGTTTCCACTGTGTGCCGTTGAGTCCTGGGCCGACTCAATGGCAGAAAACAGCAACTGAAAGTTATATCTCAATAAAAAAAATTTATAAAATAATGTATAAACCATCCTGGGAGTTCTGGTGTGGCGCTGCAGGACCGGTTTGAACAGCAAGGTTGGAGGTTCAAGCTCACCAGTGGCTCCTCAGAAACCCTATACACGGTTGCTATGAGTTGGAACGGACTCAGTGGCACTCAATGACAACAAACCATTCTTAGCTTGTGGGTATTTCAACAAGAAGCAGGGGCCGTGGTTTGCTAACCCTTCTCTAAAAGAAGAATCATCAAGGCAAGGGGCCCGAGAATCCTCTCTGGTAGACCTAGGTAAGTGTTGTGGCTTGGAAGATAGACAAGTGTCAATCAAGGCCCCCCACGGCACCTACATGGCTAATTGCTAAGCTCTGCTTTCTGAGGTTCTCAGCAACCAAACCCAGTGTCAGGCACCGCAAACCCATGTCCGTGCTGCCCTAGTGCTGGGTTAGCACTTGGAGACTTCCTTGGCGATGTGCTGCTCTGGAAATAACCCCTCCATATTTTTAACACCCTTGCCTGGCCACTGGGTTTCCAGTTTCTCCCAAAGAGAATTCCAAGCTGGAATTGAGACTGTTTTGAGCCGTGTTGGTAAACAGGATCCTCTTTTGGCCCTCATCCACACTCTTCCCCCACAAAAGCCCTCAATGCACTCAGAGGACACGCCTTACTCTCCTGCCAGGCCCCGGGCTGTGGCCTGGAGTCCCTGCAGTTTCACACACAAGGAACAAGCAGGTTTCCATAGGGTTTTTAATTCAAATAGTCAGATTCTACCCAGTTAAAAATGCTTCTCAAAACTTCAGGAAGCCAAGGAAAGGGATCGGGAAAGAGTGTAGCTTGTCACAGAGAAGAGAGGGGTTGGCTCTTCACACTGGAAGCACCCCGAGGGATTAGTGAGCACAGGGGGCCCGCTGGGGTTTGCTGAGGTCAACTGAGGCAGCTCACCAAAGACAACTGGTGCCATTGGAACAATCTGGGCTCCAGTGGAAGGTCCAGCCAACAAATTGGCGGTCAAGTGGATTCCAGTTCATGCAACCCCATGTGTGTCAGAATAGAGCTGTGGGGTTTTAAGGCTGTGACCTTTTGGAAGTCGATTGCCTGACCTTTCTAACAAGGCACCTCTGGTGGATTTGAACCACCAGCTTTTCGGTAAATAGTGTTTAACTGCCCCACTCAGGGACCTGGAGGAAGGTCAGGTCTCTCCGAATATCTGTCCACCTCCATGTCCTGCCTTCTGACCACCAGCAGGTCTAGATACAAGTGAGGAGCCCCCGCAGCCCAGAGAGGGGTTCAACGAAGGGAAACTGCCTGTGGGTCTGGGGGTGGGATGGATGGAAACAGGGAGGGGAAGGACTCTCACCTCTTCTTGAAAACTTTCTGGGCTGGGGGCTCAGCTTCCAAAGGGAAAGCCCCAAAGGTCACAGGGTCCACAGGGGGTGGGGGCTAATGCTCAGGCTCAGCATCCATGCAGGACTCCCACGGGTTCTGGGGCATTCGAGGTAGGGAGAAGAGCAGGAGGGCCAGGCCGAAGAGGAAGAGGAGGACGAAGGCTGCGCAGGCACAGGCGAAGGACCAGGAATAATAGTACTCGATCCAGACGGTTTCCTCGCTGTCGACCATGCGCTTCACGGACTGCCGCATGACCTCCACTGAGACCAAGATGCAGAGACCTGGGGACCCAGCCGGCAGGCACACTCAGGGTCAGCGTGCGTCTGTGCCCCAGTCATGCCCAGCCTGCATGCACTGCGCTGGGGGAACTGTCTCAAGACAGGCTCTAAGCTGGGACCCCTCAGCCTCCTAAGGTTAACATGGTTTTCTTTCTTCATTCTCCTCCCTCCCTCCTTTTTCTTCCCTCTCTCTGTACTCTATTTTTCTTTCCTTATTTCTTTTTTTCCTCTTGTGTCTTTTTCCTTCATCCCTTCATTCTTTCTCTCTGGGTCCCCTTCCCTCCCTTCCTTTATGACTTAGACAATTTTTTCTTATTGAGATGAGATTCCCATAACATAAATTATTCATTTTAAAGGGAACAATCCAGTGACGTTTAGTATATCCACATTGTTGGACAGCCACTACCATGATCATGTTCCAGAAGTTTCCCAGCACCCCACAGGGAAACTCCCAGATCTGTTAGGCTGTTGTTCCCCATCCTCCCAGCACCAGTAGCAACCATTCTGCTTTCTGTCTGTGTGGATTTACTTTTTGGGGCCATTTCAGGTAAATGGAAGCATGCAGTGTTTGTGGGGGGCTTTTAGTAGCTGGTTTCTTTGACTTTGCATAATGTTTTCTAGGTTTGTCCACGTCATAGTACTCCATTATTACACTGCAGTGAAGTCGTGACACTCAATTCCTTTTCTTGGCTGAGTAATATTCCACCGTACAGATGGATGGATAAACATGGCTGTTTATCCGTTCATCCATTGATGGACATTTGAGAGTGTCTGACCCTTGGTTATTGTGAACGGTGCTGCTGTGAACATTGGTGTATGTTCACTGGAATCCCTGCTCCTTCTGGAAAGTTCTTTGTAAAGTTTATTTTGCCTTGAGGATTAAAGCCATTGTGAGAATGGACCAACTCCCAAGATGTGCCTCCCAGCCCTCCCAGATTTGTTGAGACCTTGACCAAGCTTGGCTCCTGGATGGAGCCTGGCAATTATTCCACAGTCCTGAGGTAGGTAGAATGGGGTCTTAGAGCTGGCCCCTTGACCTCATCCCCAAATCCAGGCAGCAGGCAGGATACCCACCCACCCCCACCCCTGTTCTACCTGCAAAGGCATAGAACATGGATGCTGGCCTCAGCAGGTAATCCCTCTTATTCCGGAAAGACAGGAGGAGGCAGATGGTACCCATGATGATGAAGCCCAGGCAGAAGATGGCAATGGCAGCCGCTGAGATGCTGTACTCTGCACAACACAGAGGGGCGAGAGCACTCGGCAGTCAGCAGGACGGACGCCCACAAGGACGTCCTCACCTCCTGGCAGCACCTCCATCCAGGCTCATGACAAGGCCAGGTATCCATGACTCTTACTCCCATTTTACAAGTGAGGAAACAGAGGCTCTGAGAGATGCAGGAGCACCCTCCACGTCACACAGCGATTAAGGGGTCAGCATGTGCCTTGTTCAGCTTCCCCAGTTTCAAGTGCCCTTCTTTGTAGGTACTGCCACCAGAGGCCAAAACCTTTCTAGAACAGAAACCTTCCTTGAGGGGCCGACTGAGAAGGCGCCTGGTCTTGGGGACTAACTGGTGGTTTCTGGCAGGAAGCCGGAGCGTGGGTGCCCTGTGAAGGCTTGTCAGCAAGTGTGAGTGTGTCTCTGTGTGTATGGGCTCATCAGACTGTGAGTATGTGGGTGTGTGTACCACACGTGTAAGGAGATCAGAGTGTGGGTGGGTGCTGTTACATGTAAGGATTTTTCAGAATGTGGGAATGTGTGTGCCACACGTGTAAGGATTTGTGAGTGTGTGTGTGGGTGTGTAGGGGATTGTCAGAGTGTGAGTATGTGTGCGTGTGAATATGTGGACCATGTATGTAAGTAAGGGCTTGTCAGTGTGTGGGCGTGTGAATGTGTGTGCCACACGTGTACAGATTTGTCAGAGTGTGAGTGTATAGCTGTGTGTTTCATGTGCATAAGGACTTGTCAGAGAATGTGAGCGTGTGCCCCCCATGTGCATGGATGTCCGTGTGTCTATGTGTCGGGGGTTGTCAGAGAGATTGTGGTGAGCATGTGTCAATTGTGTGCCTGCTCCCCTTCCTCTTGGCTGGAGCATGTCAGGCTGTCAGAATGTTTACATGTGTGTGCCATGTGTGCAGGGGTCTGCCAGAGTGTGTGTCTGACCCTGGGAGCATTCATGTGCGTGGGTCATGCATGTAAGCATCTGTCAGCATGAGTACATGTGTGCGTGTGTGTATGAATGTGTGAACGTATTAATGTATGGGTGTATGTGTTGTGTGTGTACGGGTTTGTCTGTGTGAGTGTGGATGAGTATGTGTGCCCTCCGTTGACATGTAGCAGCATGAGTGTTTCAGTGTATGAGTGTGTGCTGGATGTGTAAGGATTTGTCAGAGAGTAAATGTGGCAGTGGGAGGGGATGTGGATTGTGTGAGTGTATTTGTGTGTTGAAGCATATGAGTGTATCAGTGTGTACAGGGATTTGCTAATGTGAGTGTGAGCATGAATAGGTCAGTGAGTGTGGATGTGTATGAGTGCACTGGTGTGTGTGTGAATATTGGTGCTGTGTATATCAGTGTTGTGTGTATAAGGGTTTGTCAATGAATGTGAGCATGCATATGTGTGTGTGTGTGTGAATGTCTGCTGTGTGTATAGGGCTTTGTCAGTGTCAGTGTGAGCGTGAGTATGTATAAGTGTGTATTCGTGTAACTGTGCCGTGCTTGTAAGACTTACCAGCATGGGTGAGTGTGTGTGTGTGTGTGTGTGTGTGTGTATGCACCGTGGGCAGCCACACACACACACTCTGGCAGATCTGTATTCCCAGCACCACACACATCCGAGTTCCATCGATTGCTGAGACCCCCCAGAGTGCTGTGCTGAGGGATTTACATGCATCTGCCCTGCTCCCCTTCTTATGTCAGGGATGATTTATAGGTGAGGGTGGCCATTAGGTCTCTGGTCCCCACAAACTGCCCCTGCCCCTCCCGAAACCCATCAGGGATTAAAGCTCTTGTTCCATTTCCATCAAAGCCTGTCACTACCACTCCCTGGGGCTCTGGAGGAAAATGTATTCCTGCTTCTGCAATTTGGGAGCTTACAGGAAACATCTTTTTTGCAAACTCTCCCAAGAACTGCTTGTGGGGATAGAGTGTGGCCACCCCAGCCCTCCAGATGAGGAGGGTGGCAAATCTGACACATCAACCCCTCCAGGACGACTAGGCTCCCTCACGAGCAAGGAGTCAGGACCTTGGTACCAAATGATTTTCTGGCTCAGCAGTGTGTGACACAAACCACTTCTCACCACCCTCTCCCTTCCACCATGGCTCACCTTTCTGAGTAGTGACTTCGAAGATCTCTGAGCTCTCACCTGGGTTGAAATGCCTGAAGTAGGAGCAGTTTTTCTCTGTAAAGGAGGAAGACAGCCCGTGAGTGGGAGAGAAAGGGGCCTTAATAAAGACAGAGACTCAGCAGAGAGAGACTGGGAACCATCCTACGGGGACAGGGAAGGGGTCCTCTGGTGAATTCCCTCCTCCTCAAACCCTGAACATCTTTCTCTGACCCTCGGAACAAAACTTGCCTGAAAGAATGGGGCTGTACCCTAGGCCGTGTCAGGAAGTGGGTCACCAGGGCAGACAGCACCTTGGGGATTGTGCCCCATTAGACAAATGGAACTACTGAGGTTCAGGGATCAAGTCATTTCTCAAGGGGTTCAGGGTCCAAGGTCAACAAAGGGCCAAATAGAGGTTCTCAGCTGGGATCAGTTCTGTTCCCTGGGAACACTGGTCAGTGTTGGAGACATTTTTGGTCATCACAACTGAGCTAATGGGAGCATCTGGTGGGTAGAGGCCAGGGCTGCTGTGAGCATCCTACAACACATAGTACGATACAACACACAGCCCCACAACGAGGAATAGCTGACCCAAAATGTCAGTAGTGCTTGGGTTGAGAAGCTCTGAGTAATGCAAAGTCTAGAGCAATTTCTGTTTGTTGTTTTGTTTTTTAAATCAGATTTCAGGCTCATCTCCTGGCTCACTGGGTACAACCTAGGGACCACTGTTTTTCAAAAGCATCAAGTGAAGCTGGCCTTCAGCCTCTGGTGGGGGAACTCCTGTTCCCTGCTTCTTAATGAGGGTTTTTCTGATGGCTGACTGGATTGGACTAGGGACAGAGTAGAGAACCTCCATCTGAGGGCTGGTTATTTCACCACTAGGTTATTTCATCACTAGGTTATTTCACCAGACCCTCACTGCTGTGGTCACAGTAGAAATCCAGACAAAACCTTCACCGATGAGGCTGCTCAGCCTGTCTGGTAAGTGTCATCAAAGCTGAAGAAGATCTGTGAACAAAAGGGCCAAGATATCTGGATTTGATGCGAGACAAGCAGTAAAGACAAGGGAAGGGCTCTAAATAAAAATTCCTTCCGACCTGAAATGGAATTCCGGGCACAATTTCTCTTCTACTTTCTTTTTCTTTGAATCTTTCTCTCATTACTAGATATACTATAAAATTATGGTCTTATCACTTATTGAATAAAGTTTTATATTCTTTACTCCTGTGTTAGGAAGTAGATGAATGGATTCTCTTATTTATCTCCTTGCTTTTTATTTGTGTGAGACCCTTCACAAAGTTCTTCTCATTCCTGTGAGTCAGTGATTCTCAATAGACAAAACATCCCTGGTCCTAGCTCAGACAGAATCTAGCTAGACAGAATTGATTAACTGTCCACCTTCAGTGTTTTCTGAAAAGGCACCTGCAAAAGTCTTCCTTGGATCATATCTAAATCATCAAACTGCTGCGTAGGTCTCCCTCCTAATTTCTCGATTCAGGGTGCAGCCTGCCCTGTGGACCAGCCTGGAGATTGGTCCTAGCTTAGCAGCAGTACACATGGATTCTGCTTCTGTGAGGTAAACAGCCTTCTCTTTGGGTATCTATATTTAAATCACTTTCCTTTTGAACCGAGGTACCTGGGGTGTCTGGTTGCCGGTGGTGATGTCAGAACTGATGCTGTTCTTTTCTCGCTCCAGCTTCCGGTGCTATTTTAAAGCAAGATGCAAGCCCCTTCTGTTTGTTAGATGATCAACTAGAGATTCTCTTGAGTCATTGCTTCAAAATGGCTCGTGCCATGTCATATGCCTCTCGCTGTGTGTCTGGACAAAGGAGCATTTATTTCTGTTTCATTCTGTAAGGGCCAGTTTCGGTTGTCACTGAAAACCTTCTGAAAAGAATTAACTGTGTTCATGTGTATTTCATGGTCAGCTGTCTCACTGACAACTTGCAGTTCCTGAGTTAAAAAGCCTCTGGAGCCAGAGCCGCGAGATCAAAGTCCACGGATTGCCTGACCAGAGCACACCTGTTGCTGGTTCCGGGCCGCTGTGGCCCCTCGTACAGGGAGCATTTGGGTTATCAGACCTCCACCAGGTAAACATCAGACTCCATTCTGGAAAACTGCTACTGATGTTAGGTGCTTGGGTAGAAACTGTCTTAGTTCAGACACGCACGCACACAAAACACTAAGCCACTGCTGTTGAGTCAGGTGCAGAGAACACCTGTGCTCCACCAGGTTTTCAGTGGCTGAGACCTTTCAGAAGCAGGTCGCCAGGCCGTTCTCTCAAGGTGCCTCTGGGTGGGTTTGAACCACCAACCTTTTAGTTTGTAGTCAAGCGCTGAACCGTTTATGCCACCGAGGGACACGGTCATACACTCAGAGGTAGGTTAAATGTCTGCAGGCACAACGTTTCCACTTCCTTACCTTCCTCTATTAAAGGGGAACTCAGTGGATGGAAGTCCCACTTGGAGCATTTGGAAGCCACAGTTTCTTTCTCAAAACAACCACCAAATCCACTGCTACGGGGTCGATTCTGGCTCATAGAGATCTTCTGGGTCAGAGTACAAGTACCCATACAAGTGTCCCATGACTGGCATCTTTATGGAAGCTGGCTGCACATTTTTCTCCTGTGGAGTGTCTGGTGGGATCGAATCACTGAGTTAGAGGATTTGAACTGCTGATCTTTCAGTTAGCAGCCAAGCGCTTCACCTCGGCACCACCAGTACTCCTTTACGTAGCGATCGGATGAGCAATATGAAATTGCTAGTGCGCACCTGCTCTCGGGTTTGGCTAAGCACAGAGCTTGAAGACTGCTGGGCAGCCACATCTCCTTTCTTGACTCCACATCTGAGAAAGGGCCCTGTCTTCTGTCCTCAGCCTGGCAGAGGCATGGCTCCAGGACCACACGGCTGATCCCTGGAGACCATCAGCCCCTTTGTGGTCTCTGATGGCCCCAGCAGGAGAAGGACTGTGTTAGACCCAGGCCTTCCCTTGAGCACACCCAACACCAAGATTCAGGACAAAACAAGCAAAGAAAAGTGTAGGTCCTGTTATGATGGGCAGATGGCACGGCAAACCCCTTTCATCCCTGCTCCTGGTGCTGTGCCTGGTGGGATCTGTGTACACTCACCATTAAGGGCCCATCACTAGAAAGAACATGCAGAAGGCGGCCAAAAGTACATGAACAGACGTTCAGCATCCTCACTCAGTGCTGTTTTTAAGTGCCGTCAAGCTGATTCTGACTCATAGTGACCCTGTATATGGTTTCCAAGGAGGCGCTGGTGACTTTGAACCACTGACCTTGCGGTTAGCAGTCCAGTGTATACCCTCCAGCACCATATCAGGACTCTTTGTTGTTGTTGTTAATTGCCATCAAGTCAATTCCAACCCATAGTGACCCTTTATAGGGTTTCCAAGGAGCAGCTGATGAGCTTGAACCACCGACCTTGTGGTTCAAACGACTTTTCAGACTGACGCATTAGACCACAGTGCCGCACCAGGATTCCTTAGGGAAATACAAATCAAAACTACAATGAGATAATACTTCACACCCAGAAGGATGCAGCCCTCAGGAGTCAGAATGGAATCCAAGGCAACCATCAACAGGTTAGCTTTTATCAGAGACATGGAAACTAGCAAGTGGTGGCAAGGATGTGGAGAACTGACAACCCTCATCTATTCTTGCAGGGATTGTAAAATTATGTTGTCACTGTGAAAAAATAGCAGTTCTTCAAAAATAGATTTGCCATATGACCTTGCACCACTCGTCTGTCAGTCTGTCCTACTGTGATGACTTGCATCTTGCTGTGATTCTGGAAGCGATGCCACCGGTATTTTAAATACTAGCAGGGTCACCCATGGTGGACAGGCTTCAGCAGAGCTTATAGACGAAGACAGACTCGAAAGAAGAAAGGACGGCCTACTTGTGAATGTTTAGCCGCTGAAAATCTTACGAATGGCAATGGGACACCAGGTACTCTCAGCCTTGGGAGTCCTGCAGTGACATTGGACTAAAGCGTCAGACCTGCAAAGTTGTTTGAACCACAAGGTTGGTGGTTCAAAGTCAGTTTGAACCATAAGACTCCTTGGAAACCACCTTATACTAGGTTGCTATGGGTGGAAATTGACTTAATGACACTTAACAACAACAATTGTCAGATACAGTGTCATAAGATGAGCCCTTCAGGTTGGAAGGCACTCAAAAATGACTGAGGAAGAGCTGTCTCCTCAAAGTAGAGTTGACCGCGATTGCACAAATGAAGTGAAGTGAATGACAAATTGATGGAGAATGATGTCACATGCATCATCAAAAAGACCATTTCAAGTTCTATCTTAAAGTATAGTGCATTGTGTAATAGGACAATATCCATATACCTACAAATAATACCACTATTCCTCAAATTTACACACCAATCACTAAAGCCAATGAGGATGAAATTAAAGAATCTACCAACTTCTTCAGTCTGGAATTGATCCAAGATGCAACCAAGATGTATTGATAATTATTGGCAATTGGAATGCAAAGGTTGGAAAAAAAGAGGAAAGATCATTAGTTAGAAATTATGGCCTTGGTGATATAAACGCTGAAGCTCGCATGACAGAATTTTGCAAGACCAATGACTTCATTACAACTACCTTTTTTAAACAACATAAAAGACAACTATACACATGGACCCCACCAGATGGCATGCACAGAAATCAAACTGATTGCATCTGTGGAAAGAGATGGTGGAAAAGCTCCATAGCATCAGCCAAAACAAGGCCAGAGGCAGACTGTGGAACAGACTATTAACTGCTCATATGCAAGTTCAGGTGGAAGCTGAAGAATATTAAAACAAGTACACGAGAGCCAAAATATGACCTTGAACATATTCCACCTGAATTTAGAGATCATCTGAAGAACAGATTTGATGCATTAGACACTAATGAACCAAGACCAGAAGAGTTGTGGAATGACATCAAGAACAACATACAGGAAGAAAGCAAAAGGGAATTAAAACAAAAAAGAAGGAAAAGACCAAAATGGATGTCAGAAGAGACTCTAAAACTTGCTCTTCAGTGTAGAGATGCTAAAGCAA